TGGCCCCAAACTCATGGTACTCTCCTCCTGCCTCAGCCTCCTGAGTTCTGGAACTACAGGTGTGCACCACCACACCTAACCCAAAATAAATTTTCAAATAAATACTTCTTGAATGTACTAAAATTGAATGATAAAACAGAATAAAGACATCTAGCTTTATAATAAGGCATTCTGCCATACAGGTGAAGTAAATTCAAAGATGGGAAGGGCCAAGGATTTAGCTCAGTGGTTTGGCCGCCTGCCTCGAAAGCAGAAGGTCCCAAATTCAATCCCTAGTATCAAAAAAAAAAAAAAAAAAAAACAAAGATGGGAAAAGAAAAGGAAATGAGGGAGGGGCCTTAGATAAAGCTGTAGATCGTATATCCCTTTAAATACTTTCTTTAGGCAACTGGCTATAAAATGAAGGTTAGGTAAGAGCTTCACATTATAAGACTAAATTAGAATCATTCACAAATAGATGAGAAAATAAGAATTTATGTAGAAAAGAAAAAAGACTGAAGGCAGATTAGGGAACACCTATTTAAGAGTCACTCAAACAAAATGAACCCATGAAAAAGACTCACTCACTGGCTCACCCATTCATCAAATATTTATGGAGCACACATATTTACTATACCGGAGCACTGGAGACCACCCTCAACAAGAGAAAAATGGCTGTGTCCTCAGGGAGAGTATCACCTGCTGGGGAAATACAAATTCATAAGATAAAGTCAACAAAGACAAAGTAAAATGGACACACCTAACCAAGACCCAAAGAGGTCAAGGAAGACTTCCCAAAGCTCAGCTAAACACAGACTTCATGTTATGAACAGGAGTAACACAGGAAAAAGAGGCAGTGAAGGTAGGAGGAGGGAAGCAGTATTCCAAACAGAAAGAATCCATGATTAAAGACTGCATGGCATACTGCAGCAGGCCAGTGTGGTTAACACACGTGTGAGGTCTGAAGGAGACTAAGGAAAATCTCATCTTTACCAAGCACTTTAAGGCTTAACCAAGGGTCAGGGTAATCAGCTTTTTTCCAAAAGATCACCATGGCCAATGTGAAGTGGTATGGAGAGATAAAACTAGGACACAAAGAAGGTAGGAGCACTCTAGGTAAAAGACAGTGATGGCATGAACTAGAACTGTGGCAGAGAAGATAAAGAGAAGTGACTAAATTTTACATATTTGGAGACAGAACCATCAGGACTTGGTGACCGATTAAAAATAGGGGTTAAAAAAAGCAATCAAAATTTATAGGACCAGATATGGTAGCACATGCCTGTAATCCCAGCACTTAGGACACTGAGGCAGGAGGATCACCACAAGTTTGAGGCCAGCCTGGGCTATACAGTGGGTGCAAGGCCAGCCTGGACTGCATAGCAAGACCCTGCCTCAAAAAAAAACAGGGCCGGGGATTTAGCTCAGTGGTTCCATTGCCCGCCTTGCAAGCACAAGGTCCCGAGTTCAACCCCCCATACCAAAAAACAAACGAACCAAACCAGATATTCAGGTATGGTATACATGCCTGTAGCGAGGCTGAAGCAGGAGAATTACAGTGCAGGAGAACTTGCCTAGCATGTTCAAGGCCCTAGGTCTGATCCCCAATGCCACACACAAATGCTCAGGAGTCAGGCATGATGGCCTATATGTATCGTCCCAGCTTCTCAGGAGGCTGAGGCAGGAATATTGATTGAGGCCAGCCTAGGCAACATAATCAGACCCTATCTCAAAAACAAAACAAAACAAAACAAAAAAACCGCCCAGTCTTCCATAGCTAGAAAGAGAAGGGAAAAAAGGGTGTTATCCACTGAGACAGAGGACACAGAAGACAGCGGTTTTCGAAGGGGACTGAGGTGAGCTCCAATTGGACCTGGGAGGTATCCTGTTGTCTAGTGGCATCCGAACTAGAAACATATATCCCAAACTCACCCACATGTGGGTGTAACTGAAGCCTTGAAGAAGGCTCCCAGCGATCACCTGGGGAAACCAAAAACTACAGAAGAGAATGAGAAGGAGGAAAGTCAACAGGTAAGAAGAATCAAGAAGTAGTGAGGGAGGGCCGGGGATTTAGCTCAGTGGTTCTGCCACCTGCCTCGAAAGCACAAGGTCCCAAGTTCAATCCCCAGTACCAAAAAAAAAAAGTAATGAGGGGCTTCCAGGATAGCTATCAGCAATGCTGCTATCAGAGTTCAGACACCAAATTTATCAATTAAAAGGCTGGACAATCTAGGAAGAACTGTTCAATGTAGTAACATCAGCAGAATCAGATTGTAACAGATTAAAGACCTGAAAGATGGGCTTGGAAATAGGCCAGCCTTTTTTTTTTTTTTTTTTAGAAATTTAGCTGTGAAAAGAAGGAGAAAGTAAACTAGTAGGAAAAAAAAAAAAAAAGGAAACAATGAAAACAGATTTAACTTCTTTTCTTGGAGACAAGAGACCTGGCATTTTCATATAGAAAAAAAGCCTCTGAAATAGGGTTGGGTGAAAACCCTAAGAGTACATCTAATAAAGATTTCAGAAGACATAGGCAGGAATGGAACAGACTTATGCTGGAGCAGCGCTGAATAAACCTTTCTGTTACAGGATTATTATACATTGCTAATAAGGATGTAAATTAGTACAATCACCACTATAGTACTTGGCACCAGCTAACAAAATGTTAAAAATGCTTGGGCCAGGGATTTAGCTCAGTGGCACTGCGCCTGCCTTGCAAGCTCAAGGCCCTGAGTTCGATCCCCGTTCCAATAATAATAATAAAATGTTAAAAATGCTTATCATTAGACCTGACAATTCCATGCCTAGGAATTTATCTTTCAGACATACTTGGGCAAAGGGATATGTACAGGATTACTCATTGCAACACTGTTTGAACCAGAAACAGATTGGAAATAATTCAAATACCCTCAATAAAAGACTACTTAAGTTATGGTACATCTATACAAACTAAGTAACTATGAGGGGGAAATGATGGTGCTCTCTATGTACTGGTATGTTAAGCAAAAACTAAAAGTGCAGAAAAGGGTAAGTGCTACTTTTTGTCTCTAAGCAGTGAAAAAATAGAATCCCATTCATGTTTGCTTAAATATGCATAAAGAAAGATAAGAATCTAAGGACAGTAGTTGCCTGTGGAGAGGTTCTAACTGGACACATAGTGAACAAAAGTGAAACACTTTAACAGTATTTTCTAACTTGTGCCTGAGGAAACTATTACCTACTCAAAAAATTAAGGTAGGGCTGAGGATGTAGCTCAGATATAGAGTGCATGTCTAACATGCAGTAGGGCTGAGTTTTGAGCCTTGGCACAGCAAATAATAAACTATTATGAACTTTTTTTGAACTTTCCTTCCATTGAGATAGTAGTTAAAAAGAATATGGGTCAGGGATTTAGCTCAGTGGTGCCACCTTGCAAACTCCTTGCAAGGCAAGGCAAACGCAACGTCCTGAGTATGATCCCCAGTAACAAAAAAAAGAGAATATAATGATTCTAATAAATTTCTAGACACAAGATATGAGTGAAAATAAGAAGCCTAGGGCCGGGGATTTAGCTCAGTGGTTCTGCTGCCTGCCTTGAAAGCACAAGGTCCCCAGTTCGATCCCTGGTACCAGAAAAAAAAAGAAAGAAAATAAGAAGCCTAACAGCTTTAAAAGTTTAAGCACTTGCTTCTATTTTCTCTCTGTAAAATAGCTAAGAGAATAAGGAGAACTATGACAGATGGCCGTGGACTTGGAAACTAGAAGAAAATCAAGTGTGAAACAGCAGGTATGGAGAATAATGATAAAAGCTTTAAAAATACAAATGAGCTGGATATGGTGCCTACTAGCTGGGGGGGAGGGGGCGGGCTGAGGCAGAGGATCACTTAAACACAAGTTAGAGGCCTGCCTGGCCAAGATAATGAATCTATGACTCAAAAAAAAATTTTTTTTAAAGCAGAACATTTATTGGTACATTTTAGGCACACGTAATGATAACATTCACCATGGGGAATTTGCACCTGTACATGATACATCCCGCCTTTTCTTTTCCCCTCCTCCCCTCTCCCTAAGTACACAAGCTTTGTTTCCATTTCAAAAAACAAAAAAATTTAAACAGAAGTACAACACGAAAACACACGACACGACTAAGAACTTTTTATGTGAAAAGTAAGATTATTTGACCCTGTTCAGAATATATACACTCTGCCTTTTAAGGCAATTTAGACAGTAATAAAGAAATGCCAAACGAGGCTAACTTCTCAGCCCACTATTCTTTGTTCCCAGTGTATTTCCAGGGCCTAGCACAATGTCGGCACAGGCTGATGTTCACAAATAAAATTAGTCAATAAATTGACCGTGGTATGAAGAAAAGTAAAAAGGGGGCGCTTTTCTTTTGACAGAAAAGTCTGCCGAGGGCTCTGCAGGTTATCAGTTCTAAGAGAACGAGTCGGTGGGAGAGAACAGGAGTCAACCTGATGAGAAACATTAGCGCCACGTTTCCTAGAGTTGCACCTCTCACAAACCCAGCTCCGTTCGAGCCTGGGGAATGTGGGGGACACGACTGGGGACTCTCACGCAGCTAGCAACGGGCAGGGCCCCAAATCCTCATTCCACTCATTCCCCTGCGCTTTCCTACTTAAGAGGGTCGGCGCGAAGTGTACCGAGTGGTTACTTACCCTCGTCTGCGTCATACATATTGGCAACAGGTTCTGGGCCACCTAATTCTTGAAATCACAGACACAGGAGTATATCAACCACCTGAACCTCGAGAAAGAGACGCGGTAATTTCCGTATCCGGCGTTCCCAGAATCCTCTGCGCCCCACCCACACGCCACTGCCTGATTTGCTGCGGCTGCGCAAACTGTAACGTAAGATTGGGCCCGGGTAAGAGTTGCGCACGCGCAAATAATGATGGATCGCTGTCTAAGGCGGCTGAGACTGCCTGCAAAGAGCAAGGGTTGGGTCCAACCAGTGAAAGGTTGTCTGTTTTTCATGGACAAACGGTCTTGGTTTTTTTGTTTTTGTAGATTTTTTTGGTACTGGGGATCGAACTCGGTACCTCGCGCTTACAAGGCAGGCAGCGGAACCACTGAGCTAAATCCCCAGCCCCCGGTCTTGTTTTTTTTTTGTCACAAATAATAATTCTAGAAATGGCCAAGTAAATTTACTAATGGAAGTTTTGGTTGTAGCCGTGAGTCCTCAACATTTAATGCATAATTTGCACTTCTAAAGACCAAAACCTTTCCAAAATGTGACATACCCCAAAAAACAACAAAAAAACTCTAGGCCTGGAGATTTACCTCTGTGGTTCTGCCGCCTGTCTCGCAAGCGCAAGGTCCCGAGTTCGATCCCCGGTACCAAAAAAACAAACAAAAACCAAATGTGACATAGTAAGAACCCATGGTGGTGCGTTGAAGAAGCCCAAAAGTGAACAAGCTCAGTACACTCCTTTTCCCACCTAGCTAAGGGATTAGCGGTCGCTTTAAATAGGTTCTCAAGCCTCAGAGCTTCCATCGCGAGAACTCACGGGATCATCGACCAGGTAGTCCTGGAGCTCGTCCTCGGACCCCAGCACGCATGCGCACGCGGGGCTCCGCCCGGGCCGCGTTCCTCATGTTGCCCCTACGCCTGACGCGCCGGCTGCTGTGCGGTGTCCTACGGGGGCACGGGTCTACCCTAGGGAGCCATGGCTTTCAGGAGCCGGTCCTGGAGAGGAAGTGCACGGCCGCCTCCTCCTTCCTGGGTCGTGGGCTTCCTCGGGGCCCCGCGGCAACTGAGGATCTCAAAAGAGACACGGGTATGGAGGAGCGGTTTCTGTTCCCCGAGTACGTCCCGGAGCCGGAGCCCGCTCCCACTCCTGAGGAGCAGATGCAGGAGCTGGTGCAGCAGCACCAGGAGGAGGAGCGGCAGCGGCAGCAGCGGCGGGAGGAGTGGCTTCAGCGGAAACTTCGGGCTGGAGGCCGCGCGTCCCCGGCCGCGGAACTCCTGGACCTCCCAGACCTGTCGGTGCCGTCCAGCGGCCTGCACTGTTCGGGCTGCGGAGCCGAGCTGCACTGCCAGGACTCCCGTCTGCCTGGCTACCTTCCCGGCGAGAAGCTGCGCGGCGCGGCCCCGGTGGATGGCGGCCCGGCGCGGCTCGTGTGCCAGCGCTGCTGGCTGCTGCTGCACCACCGGCGCGCGTTGCGTCTGCAGGTGACCCGCGAACAGTACCTGGAGCTGGTAAGCGCCGCGCTGCGGAGGCCGAACCCCTCCCTGGTCCTCTACATGGTGGACCTGCTTGACCTCCCCGACCCCCTGCTGCCCGATCTGCCCGCGGTCTTGGGCCCCAAGCAGCTCATCGTGCTGGGTAACAAAGTGGACCTGCTGCCCCAGGACGCACCCGGCTACCGGCAGCGGCTCCGGCAGCGGCTGTGGGATGACTGCATTCGCGCGGGGCTCCTGCCTGTCCCTGGTCACCAGGGGCCACGGGACGCCGGCCAGAACGGGGATGAGGACGGGGAGAAGAACGGGAATTCGTCGGCCAGGTCCCGCACCTTGGTCAGGGACGTACGTCTGATCAGCGCCAAGACCGGCTACGGAATTGAAGAATTGATCTCTGCCCTTCAGAGCTCTTGGCGCTACCGCGGCGACGTCTACCTGGTGGGCGGCACCAACGCCGGCAAGTCCACCCTCTTCAACACCCTCCTGGAGTCCGATTACTGCACCGCCAAGGGGGCCGAGGCTATCGACAGGGCCACCATCTCCCCTTGGCCAGGTGAGGATAGGTAGGCTCGCTTTCGGAGACACGGTCGTGGGCCGGGTGTGACTGCCCGAAGCTTTCCCTTTACAGATTCTCACTGCTTTTAACACATCCCTCCTGTGTCAGCTTCGTGCTTGGTAACTCGGTCGGTATTGTGATTTTCTAATAGAAATGTTTATGGAGCACTTATGTGTTCTGGTCACTGGACATTGCTACTTCTGCCTTGGAGATTTCCCTTGTAGCTTCTCTATGTGTAAGTTTTTCTGGAAAGTTGTACTTCCTTTTTATTCTCTGAACCTCCCTCCTCCCCTCAATCTTACTTTTCACATTTTGAATTTATTTTTGAGACCGTTACACTAAACATATATAACATTGGAGTGATTCATTAATAGAAAATGGTGTGTGGCTGTGTTGAGAAGAAATGTCAGTTTTGTGATTTTAAGAAATTTCTGTGCCAGGTGGAAGTAATCTCAGCATTTGAGAGGTTGAGTCCAGAGGATTGGGGGTTCAGCAGCCTAGACTATATAATGACTCAAAAAAAACCTCTGTAATTGAAAAAATGGGTCTTTTATGATCGTGCTTGAAGTTGACAAAACTGTCATATTTGTTTTTTGTCTTGCACTTTGGTTGAATTATGCACAGAATTCTCTAGTCATACCACCCTCAGTCCACCTGATCTCATCTGAATTATGCACAAATTGTGTAGGGGATAGATACACGAGAAGGGGAATAAATCAGGCTTGTAGACTTTGTATTCAAATCCTGGGTTAGCCTGTGAGCCAATCCATAAACCTAAGTCCTCATTTGTAAAGTAGAAGTAATCTTATGGATGGCTGCCTTGAAAGTTAAATGAAATAAACCGTAGTAGCAAACAGTGTAGGTTCTCAGAAATGCTTGTTTTCTTCTTATTATTCCTGGGAATTTTTTATTTGTTTTTATTTTTGTTTTTTCTGAGTCAGGGTCCTGAGCTATGTAGTTAAGGCTGGCCTCAAACTCGCAGCAATCTGCCTACTACCAGGCCTGGTTCTAAAACCATTTTTTCTTTGGTATTTCAGGTACCACATTAAACCTTCTGAAGTTTCCTATTTGCAACCCAACTCCTTACAGGATGTTTGAAAGACAAAAAAGACTTAAAAATGATGCAAGTAAATCAGAAGAAGATCTTAATGAGCAAGAACAAAATCAACTGAATGTCCTGAAAAAGCATGCTTACATAGTAGGTGAGATTCCCCTGGGAAACCTTTGTTGGTGCTGCACTAAAGTTCCATGTGAGAACCTGTACACAGCTGTCAGGAACCAGCCCATTTTCTGTAGAGAAACCTCCTGCCTCATTCTGGAGCAGAAGCCCTTTAGAGGCAAGGCTAGTACTGTTGGGAAACCTACATCAAGACAGCTGGTAAAGGTCACTCACTATGCACCAGCTTCAAATGATGTTAATTAGTTTCTCTCTCTGTTCTTGGTGTCTCTTTTCAGCCTTGCTTTAAAAAAAAAAAAATCTCATTTCTGTTTTTTTAAATAAATTTTATCCCTTCCCCCCCTCAAGCTCCCTCCCCTCCCTATGTACAAAAGCTTTGTTTCCATTTTTCCTTCTATTGTCACTTTTTTTCTTGTCCCTTCTTTCTTTTCTCCTCTCCTCCCTTGTTCCTCTTCCCATTTAAACACGTCCTTCCCATTTCCCAACATCCAATATACATTTCAGTCCTTATTTCCACTTTCAGTTTCTCACACCATAGAAAGAATGCAGTATTTAAACGTGTGTGTCCAATTTGTTTCACTTAAGAGTATGGTCTCAAGGTCCATCCATTTAGCAGTAAATGTCTGTAGCTTGTCCTTTATGGCAGAGTAGTACTGCATTGTATAAAAAACCACTTTGTCCACTCGTCAGTTGATGGGCAAAAAAGCTATTTCTAACACCACCCACTTCACAGTACACAGCTAGCTGCACAGTTGGATCATTACAAGACTGATTCCCACCACCTGGGCCAGGGGAGCAGCAAGGAGAGCACAGATATATCCTTAGAGCCTCACTTCCTTACACTGTAATTAGTCATCGTAACTTGTTTGAGACAAACAAAAACTTTCTAGCTGCCAGGCAAGGTGGTGCATGCCTGTAATTCCAACTACTAGGGCACAAAAATGACAAGTTCAAGGCCAGCCTATGCAACTTAGCAAGACCCTATCTCAAAATAAAACGGGCTGGGGATGTAGTTCTGTGGTGGTGTGCTTGCCTAGCCTTCATGAGGCTGTGGGTTCAGTCTCCAGTGCTGAAAAAAATAAAAACCGTCTGGAGTCAAAAGTATTAAAGTGGTAACTGATAACCTCAATATAATTTGTTCTAGGAAGAGTTGGAAGAACATTCTTGTATTCAAAAGAACAGAAGAATGAATTTGAGTTTGATCCTGATTCACTTGCTTTTGACATGGGAAATGAGCCTGTTGCAGTTGTGGACAAACCCATCAAACGAGTAGAATTGACCCCACAAGATGTAAAAGATGCTCATTGGTTTTATGACACCCCTGGAATTATGAAAGAAAATTGTGTATGTATTTGGTTTCTTTAGTAACATTTACCTTAAATTGCAGAAGGTACTGTCCTAATTGGTAGTAAGAAAACAGGTGTATTTCCATTTTTGATTCTAATTCATTCATAAAAGCAGTAGTTCAGGGATGAATCCACAAGCCATCGAGTTCTCCATTCATTTGATCAACTTCAGTGCAGGCAGCTTACTTGTATTATTGTGTGCTTGTTACCCTAGTTAGGGAGGCATTTACTAGATCCTAGATGGGAGAAATCATAAATACCACTGCAGTCCAGTTTATTCTGAGACAGGGTCTTGCTAAGTTGCCCAGGCTGGGCTAAAACTTATGGTCCTCCTGCCTCAGCCTCCTGAATAGCTAGGTTATAGGTGAGTGCCACCACACTCAGCTTCTCATAACTTTTTGTTGTTTGCAGTTTTTTTGTTTTTTGAGGGCCTCACTATGTAGTTTAAAGTGCCCTTGAACTCACTGTGTAGCCCAGGCTACTTCAGACTCAGAGCATTCCTCCTGCCTCAGCAAGTTCAAGACCAGCCTGGACTACATAGCAAGACCCTGTCTCAAAAAAAAAAAGAAGTGTATTATTGGTGCCCCACCTCATAGAATCGTATTAACTTTTTCTCTTGACATTTATTGCCCACCTTGAATAATTGCTCCTGCTCATTTCTTCCTTAGCAATCCACAACTACAAAGTTCACTGCTTTTTTTTTTTTTGGTACCAGGGATCGAACTCGGGTCCCTGCGCCTGCACAGCAGGCGGCGAAACCACTGAGCTAAATCCCAGGCCCCCAAAATTCACTGCTTTAATAATGTCCTATTACCTTAACTTCACCAACCAGTTCTTCCCTTTCAGATTCACTTACATCAGAGAGAACAGTTATTTTAGTCATACACCCTCTTGTGAAATTAATGGGATCAAAAAGGCAAGAATTTGCAAAATATTCCAGCCAGCAGATGAGACCCTCAAGTTTTTTAATATAAAAAGTCTCTCAGGGGCTAGGGATTTAGCTCAGTGGTTGCGCTGCCTGCCTCAAAAGCAAAAGGTCCCCTCTTAGTACTGCTTCTAGCTCACTTTGCAGATACGTTTATTTGATGCCTTCAACCAGTGTTTCCCAGCTGAACGAAAGAACCATGTTGTTAAAGCTGAATGTGGTGGCACACACCTGTATCTCAGTCACCACAAGTTCAAGTCAGCTGCGAGGTCAAGTCCAGCTTGGATTACATAGCAAGACTGTCTTTAAAAAAAAAAAGAAAGAAAACAAAAACTTATTTGTAGCCCCTTTCTTACAAATTCTTACCTTATCTGAAATGCTGGGAGCAGAAGTGTCAGATTTTGGAAGGTTTGCATAGACTTCACCAGTCAGGTATCTCTAATCTGAAAATCTAAGGGATTTTGAAACATTTTAGATTTAGGGTTTTCAGGCTAGGGATGCTTAAACAGTTTTTGTTTTGTTTTTTTAAAATAAAAGATTATTTATTTGAGGAATCGGAAAAAGAGATGGCAGACAGCTACTCTGGAAAAGTAGGGAGTATTCAAAAGAGAAATACTCTCAAACTTTTCTTGATTTATTTTTTGTTTTGTTTTGTTGTGTTTTCTCTCAGTACCAGGAATCAAACTCAGGACCTTGCGCTTGCCAGGCAGGTGCGGTGCTACATCCCCAGCCCTAATTTAGTTTAATTTTCTTTCTTTTGGTTTTTTTGAGATAAAGTCTCTATGTAGCTCAGACTGGCCTCCAACTTGGAATCCTTCTGTCTCATCCTCCTGAGTGCTGCATCACCCTGTATTTTCTTGTGAGCCTCTCCCTGTGTCATTACTTTTTATTTTGTTGTTATTAACCATTTTCACAAGTTTTTGGTCTGCTTTTATGTGCGTGTGTATAATGTCATAGTTTTAATAGAATCATTAGTCTTCACAAAATAATACTTTGGGCTAGCACATATATAAGTTTTGGGTTTTTTGTTTGGTTGTTTTTTTGAGACAGGGTCTTGCTATATAGTTTAGGCTGGTCTCAAATTCAGAGTGATCCTCCTGCCTCACCCTCCCAAGTGCTGGGATTACAGGCATGTGCCACCATGCCCAGTGGTTTTTGATTTTTGAGACAGAGTCACAGTGTAGCCCCAGCTGGCCTTAAACTCATGGTGGTCCTCCTGCCTCAGCATGAGATTTCAGGAATGGGCCACAATACCCACTCATACATAAATATTTTACCCAAGTACAAATGTGATTTTTGGGTTTGGGTTTTTGTGGTGATGGGGATTGAACCTAGGACCTTGCACATACTAGGCAGGCCCACTAGCACTGACCTATACTCTCAGTCCTTTGAGATCAGATCTTACTAGGTTGCCCACGCTGACCTCAAATTTGCAATCTACCTGACTCAGCTTCTGGAGCAGCTGGGATTACAAGTATGTGTCACCATACCCAGCCCAAGTACAAACGTTAAAAAAAGAGTAACGGGCCGGGGATTTAGCTCAGTGGTTCCGCTGCCTGCCTCATGAGTGCGAGGTCCCAAGTTCAATCCACAATACCAAAAAAAAAGAGAGTAACATAAGCAATTGCCCATTAAAGGTAAGTAGGTGTGGTGGGTTATTTTCTTAAGGTGTTTTTACTGCATAGTGAATTGTAATTTCCTGTCAGTGTAATGTTGCTAACCTAAGAATAAATTTTGATCTGGGCACCGTGGCAAATGCTTATAATCCCAGCAACTCAGGAGGCTAAAACTAGATAATTGATTTCAAGGCCAACCTGGGCAACACAGTGAGACCCCCATCTCAAAATAAACAAACCGAATTTGAGAAGTATGTCAGCACTCTGAGGTAACACTAAATGTGAATGTTTCAATGATTTTTTTTTTTAGCTACTACCTCTTTTTCTTTTACCTTTTTTTTTCAGTGCTAGGGTTTAAACTTGGGGTCTTGTGCATTCTAGGTAAAGGCTTTACCACTGAGCTATACCCCCAGTCTTTTTCTTTTTTAACACATTCCCACCAGCTTGTACAGCCCAATGGGACAGTCATGCATGTACCGCCAGTAGTTCAAGATGGCAAGAATACAGCGCATTCAAAGCAGTGCTGTGTAGCAGTGAGACATGAATTATGGCCCCACTGTGAACATGTTAATCAGATTTTTTTTCTTAAATCTTACCAGAAGGTGGACATGGTGGCGCATGCCTGTAATCCCAGCATTCAGGAGGCTAAAGCAAGAGGATCACTGTGACTTCAAAGCCAGTCTAGGCTACATAGTGAGCTCAAGGCCAGCCTGAACTACATAGCAAGACCCTGTCTCAAAAAAGGCGGGGGGG